TCCTTCTCCAACCGGCATGGCGGTTTGGGGTCGGAGGGGTACTAACGATCCCTTAGGCTTGTTTTTTCACCTGGCGTGGCAGGGAAAGGCAAGGGGGAATCGTATGAATCTTTAAGGGAGCGTCTTTTCATCTGTTTTGTATTGTTTAATTTGGACAACATTGATCTTGCTGCGCTGTGAAAAGGTTTTGCGCGGAAACTTTGTTCCTACGACCCGGGGATAAAGTTGACGCCTTAACCGTTTCCCGCAGTGTTGGCTTCAGCTCCCAAACCCACTACCACCCTGGAAAGAGGAAAGTGGCCAAAACATTTTTTCTCCGGATGGATTAAGGATGATGAGGGCGGGGGCCCGAGCACATGAAAGTACTCTAGGCTCCTTCTCCAACCGGCATGGCGGTTTGGGGTCGGAGGGGTACTAACGATCCCTTAGGCTTGTTTTTTCACCTGGCGTGGCAGGGAAAGGCAAGGGGGAATCGTATGAATCTTTAAGGGAGCGTCTTTTCATCTGTTTTGTATTGTTTAATTTGGACAACATTGATCTTGCTGCGCTGTGAAAAGGTTTTGCGCGGAAACTTTATATATATATATATACATACACATACACTACTTACATATATATATATATATTATTTCAAACCTTAGTCTCTTAAATTTGGATTCCTGTTGATTTCATATGTCCAGGGAAAGAATTATGGAAAGAACTATGTAGCAATCCATGGAAATAAGGTGTGTTTCCACTAAAAATGTCACCCAATGAAGAAACCCACCACTTTGAAAGAGAAACCCACCACTTTGAAAGAAAAACCCACCACTTTGAAAGGGAAACGCATTGCTCCAAGTTCTTGGACAAAAAACCTTTCAACATCAAGTTAGATGTTACATACAAATTTCGTATTTGAAAATATTGGTCCGTAAGTTGGAAAGGAAAACAGTATACAACAATATACAACATCTGTGTAATTCGGGGCCCCATATTTCTTCAAAAAGGAGAACACCAAAGAATGCATGTGCGCAAGCTCCAACTAGAAAAAAGAACTCATAAAAACAATATTACGATGTGACCCTGTATACTGTAAAATTGGTTAACTAGTGCATTGATGAGTGTATGTATGGCTGTGTGCTCATGTGCATGGATGAACTGCAAATGCAAATCCACAGTTTTTAAGTATTGTTTTCGGTGCTGCGAAGACCACGGTTAAACTTAGGTAAAACATGGTGAAACAAATTTATCAACTGCAAACGGAATCCTACGTATTTGTAGCAGATCAAAGATGTGTTACTGCATTTCTGTCGCTACGTTGTTGTGCATTGGTCCGTAGCAGTGTTGCAGTAACAGATTACAATCATTATAAATATGTCATTTTATCATATTTTATCCGAATACAACGCTTAAACTTTATTGTTGCGTTTTATACAAACAAACCCCGTCGATATACTTCCAAACTTTCAAACATACACGAACAAACAAGAACATATAATTCATCTAAAAACTCAAACAGTCTTATATAAATCATAAATACAAAGCAAGTAAAGTAAAGCAAACATCAAAAATATACTTATAAAGTGTTAAACAGTTGAAGTCAAATCGAGAAGTAAAGTCACAATTATGTTACAAGTTAAAGGTTCCAAGTTTTAGTTATAAGTTGTAAGTTCAAAGTTAAAAAGGTTACAAAGTTATAAGTTACACGGTTTTTAGTGTCAAGTCATAGCTAGAAGCTCTAAGTTGTAAATTAACAGTTCTAACATGTTATAACAATGTGTTTCAATTTTAAAACAGTTCCTTAAACTTATAAATTGATTTATTGAAGTTTGATAGTCAAGAGTTATGGATTGTGAGTTGTATTTTACAGAGTAGCTATAAGCTACAAGTGTGTATATTTGGTTTTATCAAGTTATATACAAGTATAAAAGTAAGTTAACATATAAGCCATTATTTGGGGTTTGCAGAACGGTTCGGAACGGTTCCAGGGATTTCCCCAGAACGGTTCGGAACGGTTCCGGATACTTCCAAAACCTCAGAACTATTTAGAACTATTTAGAACGGTTCCGGAACGGTTCCGGATTCAAAGCCTATAGACCCCAGAACGGTTCGGAACGGTTCCGGAGACCTCCATATAATAGCATATGTTAACTTGTATAATAGCATATTTTGACTATATAATTATTTTACTTTAATACATAGAGTTTGAACAAATAAACACATACTAGTACCATAAGCAATGATGATTCAACACAAGCGATACTTTCAAACGGATATTTCAATACAAACTACACAGTTGTATGATTTTGTTAGAAAAGATTCCACAGAACAGTTTTCAAGACAGGTAAGATTTTGAAAGGGGCCACGCCTTCCATGAACAAACAGCTGAGAAACTTCCAGCCTTTTGTAGTCTACATCCAGTTTCACCTTCTCCCTTGTGCTCAGCATGCCTTTGCACTGCCTGTTCAAAGACTTAGGCGGAGAAGTTGCCTTCCCTTTGTCGTTTTTCTGACTCCTTTCTCTTGTAGCCTTGGCCCTTGGAGCCACAGGGCGGCTCTTTGGAAGGTTTTGAAAATGCGAAACAGGAGGAACTGCTCTTGACCGTTTTTTGGGGGGGTTTGGAAGCTGTGGAGAAATATTTCCGTGCAAAGTTGAGGTCTGCAGAACCGTTCCGAACCGTTCTGGAGGTCTGCAGAACCGTTCCGAACCGTTCTGGAGACCTCTGCGCTAAGAAAATTGTCACGTAAATTGGTTCTCTGTGCCAAGAATCCCGGAATAGGAAGGCACGGACAAGGTTGAGCCATTCCGGATGCATTTGTCCCAACCTGAAAGTAACCCATCATCACCCTCAAGAACCCCACCGCTAGCGCTATATATATATATTCTGAAAAGTATCAAATCATGGTCCAAGAAATTATCGGCAGCTATATGCAATATAGTTTGTTTCTTGTATGGGTAGTAGCACGGTAGTAGCAACAGTCTTGCCAGAGTGACAAAATACCAACAATATAGCCTGGATGTTGCACTGCTGCCGCTACTGCATATTTTTGATCCATTCCAGAACTGGTGGGGAAAAAGACAGCAATGGGAATGCAGCCAACAACCAGCATTGCCTTTGTTCTTTTGGGGCAAGGTTGTTAAGTAATCAAAGCTGAATTTAGCCCAGTCTCACACTAGAAAATTAATTAGCTGCAAATAGAATTCCACTTCGGCGTTTGTTTCTGTCGCCTGAGTATGTCTCCCATCTTGAAGGGAAAGCAAACCATATTTTCACCCAAATGCCAGCCCCAGACTAGAATTTGGAATGCATAATTTACTTAAGCGCACATAGAATTCTACTTAGGCGTCAGCTTGTGACGCCCAAGCAAAATTCTATTTGCGCCTAAGTAGATCATGGATTATGTTTTCCAACAGCCCCAGGCTAGATTTCTATTTGCGCATGAGTAGATTATGAATATAAATTATGTCTTCCAACAGCCCCAGACTAGAATTTGGAAGACATGGTCTAATAAGGCGCAAATAGTAATAGAATTCTACTTAGTTGTCAGTTCGTGACGCCTAAGCAGAATTCTTTTTGCGCCAAAGTGGATTATGAATTATGTCTTCCAACAGCCCCAGACTAGAATTCTATTTGCGCCTAAGTAGATTTTGACTATGAATAATGTCTTCCAACAGCCCCAGGCTAGAATTTGGAAGACATGGTCTAATAAGGCACAAATAGTAAAAGAATTCTACTTAGGCGTCAGTTCGTGACGCCTAAGCAGAATTCTTTTTGCGCCCAAGTAGATTATGATTTTTGTCTTCCAACAGCCCCAGACTAGAATTTGGAATGCATAATCTATCTGGCGCAAATAGCATTCTACTTAGGCGTCAGTTCGTGACGCCTAAGTAGAATTTTATTTGCACCTAAGATTACCTAAGTAGATTTAGTCTTCAGAAGAAAGACCGAAACATAAGTTCACCCCAATCTCACAATCAGAATTTTATATCTATAGACTGTGGATCAGATAGGTATAAAGTATCCATGGCAAGTTTTTGTTATTAGCAAAACTGAATTCATCACCGGTCCACAATACAAATTCAATTTAGGTCAAGTACTTCACAACTTTTAGTGCACCTCCAGATTGATGAATCTGGATGTGTCCTCGCTGTGTGCATTGTTTTGTTACTTTACTTCTTCAAAAGCTTGCTAATTTTCCCTTGACATTGTTTCTAACATCACCTTCTATAAGATATCCTTATTGCCCTGGTTTCTTCCATAGTCCCTTCCATAGTTCCCTCCATGGTCCATAAGGCCCACAGGTTAAGAGGCTAAAGTTTGAAATAATATATATATACACATATACACATATAACTTACATATACATATAGGGACCATCACCATCTCGGGGGAGGGGATGGGGGGAACACCAGACGCTGGGCCATATATATATATATATGTTTTTCCCTTCAAAACATTGTCTATACTTGATGCAATGTTCATTGCAAAGCCAGCAATTTCACAGGTTTCTGGGTAGGATTATGTGATGATAGTTTGATGGTTTCATGGTTTGTTTCCCCTTAATGAGGGAACACGATATCCAGCTACTGGTTGAGATTTTGTGGTACCCTCTGGTAATCTCACGGAAGGATACCACAAAAAAAGGGACAGAGCAGACTAGACACTATAACTGAACAAATCATAGTCATTCAGAGTCATCCCATCTATTGGTAGTCTCAGCTATGTGTGTTTAATGTTGAACCATTTGCGACTATGTACTCAATGACAAGATTTTCTTGAATGGTACTGGTACCTGGCACATCTGGCACTGGAGAATCTGTGAAAATCCCATTTTCTCCGAGACATGATCAATCTATTGATATATCCAACTATTTAGCATTATCTAGCTATCTATTTTTGATAGAAGTATATCATATATAGTGTTTAAATGTTTTGTTTAAAATAGGATGTTGCTTTTTTGTGGTATCCGAATCTACCCGCACTGCGGAACCCAACAATTTCTCACCCCATCTTCCAAAGTATGCAATTCTATGGGCTTCGATGTACCCTCTGCGGCTGGAAGATCCCAACTGGAGGGGGCACGGGCCTCATTCTGCCTTGCCAAGCGGCCAGCTACAAGCCTCAGTACCTGCTCAGACTGGAATTCGCAATGTTTAGAATTATGATCTGGATGAAGAAGACCAGAGAGGTGGATGGGGATCAGCAACTAAGTTTGCCCTTGGGTAAATAGAATACCATGTTCCAACTGCGGCATGCCTTTGCTGCCTTGCTTCCTGGTCTTTGCAACCCTCTTCTTCCTCCACCGGTTTGGATGACAACGCCATCAAAGCTTCAATTCGGCACTTTGCCCTTCGCGTCTGTCAAAGCTGTGCCATTGTTGATTCCACTGCATGGAACCAGCATAGGAAACACAAGCCAGGGTCAAGCCAACCTTCAACTTCAAGCAAAGCACCGTGCCCAATGACTGCCTGGGTATTGGAGGCTTGCTCTCAAAGGCAAGCTATCATGGAGGAACTCCACTGCATAGGCTTGGGAGACATGAAAGAAGCCAAGCGTACACAAGGCAGCGATCGCCGTTGCATGGAATTTCATCGTCATCCGCTCATGCCTACCATCCCCGCTGCTTTTGCTGGATCACAATGTTTCCGAGCTATTGTGGCCACAGGCAGTCGGCAGTTCTGCTGCTCTTCTCAGCATGGCCGGAATCGGCGTGTTTCCGTCCTCGTCCCCTGCAGTCGAAATTGGTTAGCCATGCAAGGAGCAGGAAAATGCGGCGCGCCTGTGGCAGCACCTCCAGCAAAGGCGCCTCCGCCAGTTGCCAGCAGAGCAGCGCCCAAGGCTGGCGTCCAAATGTAGAAGGGCTAGGAAGAATAGCTGAATAGCTGAATTTTTTAGCGAATCTTCAAAGAACCCACTTCCAAGGCGGGCACAGAAATTCAGTTCGGAGATGCATGAGGGCACCCAGAACCTGGAGGCATTATCATCACCCCACATTTGATTTCTGGATCACTACACTAGGGCTTCCAACCACGAGTCTTCCGGTGAGTTCGCAGGTCTTGTGCCACCAAGCCTCCGGGTGGAACTGGAAGGGGCCTGCGCAAGAGCCCTACAAGCAGTTGAGGGTTCACATCATCAGCTGTTGGCGGGATGGTTGAGACGAACAACACAGCGCTGGAGGGCGTGACGTGGAAGCAAAGTGGGAGGATGCAAAGCTGCTTGCAGCAAAGCTGCTGGCCTCATCCACGTCCCGGGATACTGTAATCCGCAACATCGCTGCGGATGGAGAGGACTACCTGCCTGCAGCGTCCGTCGGCCACAACATGGGCCCGCCCCAGCAGCAGCGCCCAGCATTTCTTCTTTATCCTTCAAATATTGTTATTGCTCAAGTCAAGAGGCACATCAAATATAACAGACAGAAAAGGTTCTTTCTGAAAGTCTAGCGTAATGCCTTTTTCCCCAAACAGCGTGTCCACACTGAGGGGTTCTTACGGGAAGTGTAAAGGCCGGTGCTTGATCAGGGTGCTCACTCTGGGCGCGAGCCTTTTTCCCGCTAAATTTCCGTCTGCAGTGGCTCGTCTTGTGAAATGTTGACATGCGTTTTGATTGCGCAGGCTCGCACAAAGTGCGGGTCCCGCTTCTGGGGCGCGGCATTTTTCCTGTAAATTTCCGTGTAAAGTGGCTCTCGCGAAATGTTGAAGTGCATTTCGACTGGGCAAAGTGTGCGTCCGCGTTCTGTGCTCATTCTGGTCTGTGACATTTTACCTGTACATTTCCATATAAAGTGGCTAGCTCTTGTGAAATGTTGACATGCGTTTCGACTGCGCAGTCTCGCACGAAGTGCGGGTCCTAGGTTTTGGCCTGCGGCATTTTACCTGTAAATTTTCGCATAAGTAAGTGGCGCTTCTGAAATCTTCACATGCATTTCGACTGCGCAGGCTCGCACAAAGTGTGGTCCTAGTTCATGTCCCTTTCCCAGCTCCCATGATTCTGCGCGCTCCCATGATTCTGCGCAGTCAGGAAATATCAATTAGATTCAAAAAATATTCATCACTATCTTTCAGTTTTGATGCGCGCAATTCCCCGTTTCCATTGGCAATTGAATTGGCACCGCTGGAGACAAAGCAACGTATTTCCAGTCGAGACATGCTTTGAGGGTTGGGGTATTGATAATGTTTGTTTTCATGATTTGGTTGCTGATAAATAAACAAAAAAACATGTGTGGTTGCTTAGGATGAAAATTCTGCAAATCCAACAAATTTCATGTTTGGAATTGAGTTTTAAGTCCCAAGTCCCAAAGATTAAATTCCATTGTTGTTTCTGGATAAATCTCGATTTTGCTACGGTTCAATTTCCTTTGTTTAATAGGGCTAAATTGGTTACTTTTTGTATGGAAAAACCACCCATTTTGCACGGTCAATTGTTGGATCCTCAGCTCCACCGTCCACGAGGTCGTTGCTGCTGGGACATGCCATGCTATGGGTCCATCGATGGTACTGCCCCGACGATGGAGGTGAACATGACAGGAAACGAGGGATATCAACAACAAACTATATCCGGATGTTCAAGATGGATATGTTATGGCGACATGATGCATAAACAACAAATTATTGTATGTTAAAAAATGTTAAATAGTGAATATGTTATGGTGACATGATGGAAAAACCATGGGTTTTTGAATATATTTAAATGTCAAACCAATGACGGCGAGGGATCTAAGAAATGAAATGCAGGCATTGTAGAATCAAGAAACACTGGGATACGAATTTATGATTTTGGGATATAATAATTACAGTAAGAACCACATGATATTAACGGAATATTGATTTTGTATTAGCCGTATATTGATGATATATTAATGTGATAAGATATATGACAACAAAAATAGAGATGTAGTGGTAGTATGACGGAACACCTAGTGTCAGACAAACCTTAAATACCCTTTTGGATCTGTTGGGTAATGCAAAGTGGCGCTATAAAATGGATGAAAATCCGCAGTGCCATGATGATTCACCAAAAATATGTTGCGTTTGGAACAAGAAACGGAAATGATGCGCATATGTGCTTGCATGTTTTTGGCAATGGATTGCTTCAAAAACCAACCACCAGAGCAAGAAGGGATTTGTTTCAACAGATCGAAATTATAGGTCCTTTTACCCCTTTTATCTCGAATTTTTAAGGGAATTGTCATTGCCCATAAATCATACAAGGCCGACCCAAACAATGGATGGTTTTTAGATCGCAAGCATAGCCATGTGGCCATGTATTACATTATGCGTCCGAAACAGTGACCGAATGGTTTGCCCCATACCCATGCGTCCTAAGACTGATAGAGTGGTAAAACCACTTATAACAAACCATTACTATTCACAATCATACCACAGTTTTGCCTTCTGAGATGAAATCAACTATATACTGTTGTATATATAATGATATGATGAGATTCTAAATGATACTCAATATGGTTATATAATGTTATATAATGTTATATAATGTTATATAATCTCAACTATATATGAAATCAACGATATATACCATATCCAGAAACCAATGGCATCGGTTGGGGGTTCGGAGGTCCCTGGAACTTCCACCAACCGACCGAATTCTTTCAGGCTCAGTTTCGCCAACGACCTGTTCGCGACCCGACAGACATCGTTTGCGCATCTTAGGCCGTGCGGTGGAGGAACAATGTAAAACAAAGGCAAATACTGAGATTAACATAGATTAACCATATACTAATAACTATAACTAACACCTTCAAGAATTTATTGGATACTCAATACTCAGCAGAGGCTTCAAAGGCATGTTTAATTTCCTTTTAGGATGTCAAATTTAGTCTCATCCCCCGTGATAATCTATTTGTGCATGGCTCCAAGAAAGACAACTATTTGGGTTTGAATCCTGCAGTTGATTGGAAGATGTTCGCTATGGTTGTGTGATGTTTCCATGGGACATCTCATTGCCCCCGTGCAGCAGGGAGAGGGATTGCTTTTTACCTGTAGCTGTGACAGTCGACAATGGTCTTTGCAGGCAGCTTTATTGATAGATATTGATGGTTGTCAATCATCATTTCAAAACAGCTTACATCCCCAATTATATGGCGGTTACATCCCCATGTAAGGCTTAAATCCCTATCTAGTCTTGGTTGACCCCATTATATATGGTTGACTCATCTATTTGCTGGTGAAAACCAGGTGTTTTCAAAGCCGGTCAGGCTTGGCTCAAGTGATTTGCATCCTGCTGACTGCTGCTCGGCAGTACCGGGCCGGCCTGTGACTGTGATGTCTATCGGGGCAGCAACATTTCATTATCAGCTTATTATGGATGATTATTGAGATTATGGATGATTATTATCACCAATATAATTTATTGTGATTCCCTTTCCAGATGAAGCGCCATATTGTGTGTCAAAGGTTCAACCCTGCAAGGGATGACGTCTTCGCTCTGAGGGCTTGAAACATGTTGAAACCATCGACCAGTAGCCTCTGGAAAATCCACCAGTTCAATGCTGTTCCCATCTAGAAACCTCCATCCCATTAAAACCAATGGAACATACTTAATTTATCCCAATGTATAGTTATTTTTAGTTGATTTTTGATTTTGCACATTAAAAAACCTACAGTTCAAATAGAGGTTTATAGGTTTTAATCCACCATTGAATCCACTATTTATAGGTTTTAATGGAGGTGTTCAATGACTTTCCCATTAAATAAACCTCCATGGATCGTCCACGGGGCTTGACTCCATTCCTATAAAGTAATGGTGATGACTCGGGGATGGTTTATGATTGTTTTACCCACATTATATTTATATGATTGATGAAGTCTCTACATTCCATAATATAAATGATGCCTGTCCCAGATCTATGTGAATGGTAGAGGGTATAGGCGCTTGCAATGATCCGACCAGTTGAGTCAGTGGTCGCCATGACTGGCCGTGTCAAGGTCCTGTCTTGGCAGCTGGAAGTTGTCTGCATCTCAGACCGTGGAGAACTCACAATTCCTGGTTCTTTAGCTCTTCAAAGTGGAGGGTTTAACCTCTCAAATTTTGGGAAACGTGGTATATTTGGGGATGTGTTCCAAACGGACTTGTGCATTGACAAGGATTCGTCAACAAAGAAGGTCGATATGGTTCCAACGTTAAGACCCCTGGGAGCCTCAGCTGTTGGACCCACCTCCAGAGATGGCTGTGGTGAATTGCCAGAATTGCCCATGTGCAAATATGCCATATTTGGTGGGTCATTGCCCATTTTGCACCCGTTGGTTGTGCTCCTCCCCGATCCTGAAGGTTGATGTGGCCTTTGGTGGCTTAGTTGGCACTTTCCTGAAGGCGCATTCCGTGGGGTCATGAGATTCAAGTTGAATGTGGCAAACCCAAAACAATAAACTATCACAAATGACGTACCAGAAATGGAGGGTGACCGTACTGTCAACCTACTATATTTGCGAATTTCGGAAAGGGCTGGTCATCCCACTTCCACTCAAAAGCTATTCAGCCTTGTCCAACAAGCTTCACGGTACTACTCATGGTGGTGATGCACAAGATCCCAAACCTAGATTTTATAGACAGTTTGATCCGCTTTCGCCCCGACAAGCCCGGTGGTCAGGTGACAGACCAGCCAACTTCCAAGACTTACAGCAGCTTGGCACGGCCATGGTTATTGTGGGAAAGCCAGCAAATAAAAACACCAGTGACTTACCAGAAATGAGTGGTACATCAACCATCTCACAAAGAAAGGCTTGGTGTTTGCGACACTGAAACTACTCATGTTGAAGCACCGAGTTTTGGAGTCAGCCACAGCTGCAGCCCAATACAGTAATTGCATGTAATTGCCAGTTAAAGAATCACTAAAAGAACCACATCTTCTAGTTCACCATGTTTCGCTTTCCTTCCAAAGCTTCAGAGTGAGAAAGATTGAAAGATTGTAAAAGAGAGATGCTGGGATAGGGTGAGTGTACCATAGTGTACCAATGTATTTTGTTTGCATGTTGTTTGCTATGTTTGATCTTGGTGTTCAATGTTTTGTCAATTTGTTTCCTGAGGTTTGATGTTTGCTGTGTGAGGTTCTGTGGTGGTAGAGACACAATCATGATGTCCGTTCGTTAGAGGGCGACGTCGCACCATCTAATCGATACACAGTGCACCTGATCGGTGCTGTCGGGGGTGCTGTCGGGGTTCGATTGTTCCTTGATGCTGATTTGTTCGAGGGGTTCAAATGGAGGATTTTCGTCAAGCTGGTCACCATCAATCAGCGTATTCAGTTGTAAGACTCATGTTTTGCTATGATTGGCTCAAATGTCCTGTCAGACTTGCCCGCCTTCCCGCTGTTGTTTCATTGGTCAAATGTGTCATTGAACCAATTCTTAGGGAGGCACAACTGGGTTTCCAAACTCAGTTCCATGAGTAAGGTCAGTGCTCAACTAACTCAAAAGGTCAAGCCATAGCTTCTTCCACGATGTGGGGAGGATCCAGAGCGAGCGTATAGCCCAACATTCACCCTGTCTTCACCAAGCCCTGTTGCTGCTTCAACTCTGTGGTGTGAAGCTAAAGGAACACGTTCTGTGGATCTTACGAAGCTATCGAAGCTCAAGGACTGCGCCAGCGGACGGTCTGGAGAAACTTTGGCAAATGGAAAGGTGTCCATTACACTGTTGACAGCTGAGGCATTATGGGCCTCTTGTCGCGCCTTGGAAAGCAAGGCTCCACTTACCTGCAGGCCGTGGGGGGGTGGCATGGTGATGAGATGTGATGAGATGTGATGAGATGTGATGAGTAGTGATGATGATGCAGTTCTTTTTGTGATGTTGTTGTTTTTTTTTGGTGTTGTTTTTTCCAGAAGAAGGCAGTTCCTAGTAGAGCATAGGGGAGCTGGTGCGAGTAGAGGGCATTTCGTGTCATCGGAGCCCTTTCTGTGTTTGGTCCTTGCTTCTTTCCACCGACAGGGACAGAATACTTGTAGGTCGTTGCATAGCTTAACTTCAAGATGAAAGAAGCATTTTTGTATGATGAACATGTGTTTTCATTTGATGCCAGAGCTCTTTCCGATCACAAAAACCATGACTTGGACGCACAGCATATCACCATGGTGTACAATCAGGTCAGCCTTGGAATGGGACGCTTCTGTATGGTTTCTCAACTGTCGGTCTTAAGCAACCAGAGTTCCCAACAAGTGAACGGGATTTCCACCATGAAGCTAAAACATGAAAGGATGGATTTAGGGAGTCCACATGGAGTCCACAGATTCTGGGAAAAGCCTGCGCTCTACAGTATGATCGTATGATCCTTTCACCCATCCTGGTTTCATCTTCACATGATCTCACATGGCTGAAAATGACCTCACTCGGATGGTTTAATAATGTTTGACAGACATAGTGACATAGCGGCAATGTGTGGATCCTTTGCTGCCCCATGTCTCATTTACCAATCCAACATGTGCCCACATGTGGGCGCACCGGCAGCTTGATGCTGGTGATACCAGGTTACCTTTGCCGTGTTTGTGCTGATCATTCCGTTGCTATACTTGTTGGCCATGGCTTTCCTTTGCTGCTTGGCTGAGCTCAGCCTGTCGATTTGGAGCGATAGCGAAAGAACTAGGAACACATGAGAAAACTACGGTAGAAGTTGGCGAAGGATCGTTCTTGTTGTGTTTCATGGGCATTTCGGCATTTCCTAACATGTTTTTTTGGCTGTGAGGTCTATATCAGCTGCAGCCAAAGAAGCAGCAGCTGGTCCTTCGCCTCTGTTTCTCGATCCAACTGTCCATGATGGGATCGCTGGGCTGGATGTGCAAACCAAGTGGGTTGGTCTGAAAATTGGTCGCCAGCAAGATTGATGGTTGAAAATCAGTTCCTTACTAAACTTGTGTAATTTTGGGGGTTATCTGGGGGTGATCTCCATTTTTTTAATATCCCAAGTAGCGGTACCCTTCTGGGATTGAGTCAAATGGCTCGTCTCAGGGGAAGGCTGGCAACGTTCAGGCACATATGATTGGCCTCTTTTCGGTGGCAACAGCATCTTCCAAACATACCAAAGTTATCTAAAGTTGATATCTTAGGGTTAGTTTCTGTATGTTTCTGTAGTTTTTTTCATGGATACTTCGATTGGACATACTGTATGTGCTTCATTCGATTACTTCAGCGTTGTCCATCTCTCAGTAGCCAGGCTACACGTTGAATGCATGGGCCGCCTACGACGTTTTCTTCATTGCCTTTCTGGCCGCCGTGCTTGGTGGTGAAAGGCCCCTCCCTCTCTGTCGCTGGGGAAAAATGGGCGATAGATGGAGATAGTACCCCGCAAAATAATAGATAGATAACAGGATAGCTCATTAATCTTAACATTATGTCTCAATCTTTTCTTGCACGATTTTAGCGAAATAATTGGGGGGTTGCCAAAACTCTCAAAAAATCTATGGGTTGACAAGTTGACAAGTTGGCACGACAATTTTTGGCTGCCAGGTATGGCATTGGTCAATTCATCGAGCAGGGAGAACTCAGGTGGAGAAAGGGGTTGCCTCCAAGCGGCTAGTAAGCATTGAATTAGAAAGTTATGTGTGGAATATCCCCACTAATATATATATATATAATACACGCGTTCAATAAGGTTCAATGGTGTATATGAAGATGTAATATTGATGATGACAAATAACATAATATATATAGTACATATATATATATACATACTATATTATTCTATTTATATATGATTTATATAATTATACTTATGCCAGTTATTACCCATGTACTAAATGTAATGCACCCTCAAGTAGGTCCTGTTGAGAAATGATCCTGTGAAAGCTGATATGTCCGGTAAACGCTGATCGCAAAAAAAATGTCTGACACCCAGAGCACAAATTCCTTGGTTTTAGTATGGTTTTAG